TGTGGAGTAAGGAAACTTGCCCAAGGTTTGGCCCTCTGCCTGGAATTGAACTCAGGTCTCTCACTTGCAAAGCGAGTGCTCTAACCACTGAGCTGCAGGACTCCACAATTTCCCTGTGTATAATTATAGACAGATATAATTATATCTGTATAATTCTATAGAGAATTAGATGCAGGCTGGTGAGAGCCAAGGCTTGGGGATACAGCTGGAATATATAAGAACATAAGAATTTGCTGATGAAAGAAGACAACAACAACAACAAGATTCCATGGACCAAGGTCCATCCAGTTCACCTTCCACTATTTTGGCTGTCGCTTGACATGGCATGTCGCAAACTATAAATTGTATCCCGAGATATTATTTCCTAACAGAAATCTATCTAATTTGTTGTTGAAAGACTCAACATTTTCTGCTTCCACCATCTCCCTAGGGAGTCTGTTTCATACATTTACTATTTAATCTGCTAAAACTGTAATTTGACAATAGAAACTCTCAGATAGTAATCCTTGCATTTGATATAGTGCCTTCGGATGTCTCAAAGCACGTCACAGAATATACTGTTAAGTGAATTGACTGTATATTTTGTGGGTGGAACCCCAGCAGCCAATTTCACACAGCAGTTTCCCACAAACAATCATGGATTGAGTGACCACATTTTTTTATGTAATGGATAGTGAGAGTACTGGGGGCTCAGGTTGATTTCCTCTCCTTAAGCTTGGGACACTGAGGCCAAATACAGCCTGAACTGGTGCCCTGGTTCAGATATACGAGAGAGAGAGAGAGAGAAAGCTTCACTCCATCAGCGTGGACTGGATTGGGCCACAGGTCACAGAGGTGAGCAGACCCTGCACAAATCCTTTTTGCTCACTCTATATATAATCATTGAAGTCTGGCTTGATTGGTGTTGAGATGTGCCGTGGAATCTTAGTTAAGTCAGCAGACATGCCTGAGCAGGACGGCTCTTTGTTGGTTACCCTGACCCCAGCCCAGGAATGCAGACAGGAATCCCAGCCGCAGGTTCCCCGCAGATGTTTGTGCAAATTACTTTCTCATGTTGCAGCTCAGAACATGAGAGCTGGTGGCTGGTTTGGATTACCTGACGAACAAACTTCCCCAGAGTCTAAGACTGTTTCAGATCATTACAATAGAATCACAGGGACAGGAGTAGGCCATTCAGACCCTCGAGCCTGTTTCATCATTCTGTCAGATCATGGCTGATCTGTACATCAACTCCAATTACCCGCCCTTGCCCCATAAGCCTTGATACTCTGACCTAACCAATATCTATTCACCTCTGTCTTGAAAATATTAAAGGATCCAAAATCCATAGCCTTTTGGAGAAGAGAGTTCCAGATTTCTACTATCCTTTGGGTAAAAAACTGCCTCCTGATTTCACTCCTAAATGGCCTAGCTCTAATTTTATGATTATGTTTGATCTGTGGCTTGAGACGTCCTCCTGACGTGAAAGGCGCTATACAAATGTAATCTTGTTGTTGTTGTGGTGGGAAATCTTGAAATCTACTAAGATTGCACAGAATTAGAATTGTGGCGGGTGGAGGTATTCATAGCGAGTGTCTGAATTTGGAAGCTGTTATTCCACTGCTCCCAAAAAGAAATTAAAAAATTTGATTAAAAAATCAAAATTAAAAATAATAATAATAATCCTTGCATTTGATATAGCGCCTTATCACAACAGCCTCTTGCGCTTACATAGCGCCCTCCACACAGGGAGATGTCGATCACATCATTGAGGCATCTCAAAGCGCTTCACAGGATATCCTGTCAAATGGAGTGACTGTATTTTGTGCGCGAAATGTGCAAAATTAAAAGAAAACGAAGAATATCCTGCAGTTCTGCTTGATCTTCAGTTTGAAGATAATAATAATAATCCTTTCGTTTTTAATATAAGAGTCATGATAATCCTTGCAATTTGATATAGCGTCTTATCACTTCTTCGAGTCACCTGAAAGCGCTTCACAGAATATACTTTAAAGTGAATTGACTATACTTTATGGGTGAAATGCGGCAACTATTAGGGCACAGCAGGTCCCACAAACAGTGGTGGATTGAAGCGACCAATTTATTATTTATTTATTTATTTTGAAGGAATTATTACCCCTGGAAAAGCAATCCACCAATCGACTAACAACCGGGTTCCTCCTTACTGCTCGGTAAACAGAGCGGTGTGGAGTAAGGAAACTTGCCCAACATTTCACTCTGCCGGGAATTGAACCCAGGTCACTCGCTTGCGAGGCAAGTGCTCTAACCACTGAGCTACCATATATATAGCGCCTTATCACATCTTTAAGGCATCTCAAAGCGCTTCACAGATTATATTGTAAAGTGAATTGAATATATATGTTGTGGGCGACATATATAAAGATGATTGGGTCTCACAGGCTGAAAATAAGTCGAATTTTTGAGCCTCACCACACGATCTCCAAGTGTCCGGTGGAGCCCAGCGAGGACCAGGTGATGGAGTGAGGAGGTTTGTTGGATCAATGTGGGGTCAGCTCTGCCAGAGGTAAAGGGTGGAGCTGGGGAGTCCAGCAAGTGGAGCACTGGAGAAATCTCTCCTGGAGGTGAGGGAATGGTGGATGATGAGTTTCAACAACAACCACAACAACTTGCATTTGTATAGAGCTCCTCACGCAGAATAGGGTCCCAGATCTGAGAGACAGTGCTGGAGCACAGTGCAGGGGATGAGGAGGGGTTTCTGCAATGATGGACTGGGGGAAGAGTGAGGTGGGGGCAGAGACATCTCTCAAAATGTCTTGCCCTCTGACTAGGGTGACCACATACGTCCCTGATTTCCAGGGACAGTCCCTGGATGAGGTGTTGTGTCTCTGGGGCCAAATTAGCCCTTCTTGAGTTGAGCCACAAACCTGAGCAAGAGTAATAACATTCTGAAACAGAGACACTCATCATTTACAAGAATGATGCCAGGGATGAGGGATCACAATTATGTGGAGAGACTAGAGAGCCTGGGATTGTTCTCCTTAGAGCAGAGAAGGTTGAGGAGAGATTTAAAGAGGAATTCAAAATTATGGTGGGTTTGATAGAGTAGATAGGGAGAAACTGTTTCCTCGGTTGGGTGAGTCAGTAACCAGAGGACACAGATTTAAGATAATTGGCATAAGAACCAGAGAGAAGATGTGGAGAATTTTTTTAACCAGCAAGTTGTTATGGTATGGAATGCACTGCCTGAAAGGGTGGTGGAAGCAGTTCAATAATAGCTTTCAAAAGGGAATTGGATATGTACTTAAAAAGGAAAATGTTGCAGGGCTGTGGAGTAACAGCAGGAGAGTGGGATTGGTTGGATAGCTCTTTCAAAAAGTGGGCTCCTTCTATGCTGTAGGATTCTATGATTCTATGATGAGTGAAACATAGTCATTAATCCAACAGGCTTCTCCAGTACCTGCCAGCATCAGGGATAGTAGTGAGGGCAATGGTTTAATATATACGTGTTCCCCGGATTTGGTTCATAAAATATGCTCACCCTGCCTCCAGCTAACTTTACAAAACTTCAATAATAACCCTTACATTTGATAAAGCACCTTATCATGTCGTCAAGACGTCTGAAAGCACTTCGCAGAATATACTGTGGAGTCCTGTAGCTCAGTGGTTAGAGCACTCGCTTTGCAAGTGAGAGACCTGAGTTCAATTCCAGGCAGAGGGCGAAACCTCGGGCAAGTTTCCTTACTCCACACAGAGCCTAATAATAATCCCTCCAAAACCAAAAACAATAATAAATTGGTCATTTTCAATCTACGACTGTTTGTGGGACATTGCTGTGCGCAATTGGCTGCCGCGTTCGCCCACAAATATACAGTCAATTCACTTTACAGTGTGTTCTGTGAAGCGCTTTGGGACGTCCTCCCGACGGGAAAAGCGCTATATCAAATGCAAGGATTATTATTATTATTATTATTACTGTGAAGTGTGACTTATGTTTTTTTGTGGGCGAAATGCGGCAGCCAAGTCCCCACAGCAATGTCCCACAAACTGTGGTGGATTGAGTGACCAAATCATTTTTTTTTTTGAAGGGATTATTAGCCCCGAAAAAGCGATCCATTGATCGACTAACAACCGGGTTCCTACTCACCGCTGGGGAACAGAGACGCGCGCAGTACGGAAACTTGCCTGAGATTTCTCTCTGCCGGGGAATCGAACCCGGGTCCACTCGCTTGCGGGGCGAGTGCTCTAACCACTACACGTCAGACTTTCCCAGACCAGGACCTGCTTTCCCTCCGCCAGACATTTATTCCGATCCATTTTAGAAGCCATTTTATTTAATTTGATATGATCATTTGTTTATCCAATCGCCTGCCTTTCCTGCCAGTCCGGATGTGGGTGAGTTCAGCCGCTGTCTGTCACACAGGGCCTTCCTGGGTTAGGGTTAGAGAGAGAAAACTACTGTTAGCAAACCAGGAAGTAAGTGGTGGTGAGATGTTTTTCAGGGGGGATTAAGATCGCAGCTTGAAACCCCCCCCCACACCCCCCACCCCCACCCCCACAGCCTCTCCTGTCTGTCTGTGCTCAACCTTTCCGCTTCCTGTAACAGGGCTGGAAACTTGCCGGGGATACCGGGATCGTAGTCGGGGAGACAGCGGCTCAGACAGACAGACAGACAGACAGTGAGAGAGAGTCTCGGGGAGAGAGAGAGAGAGAGAGACGACATTGTTGCCGGAAACGCTGTCAGTCGATACTTTGTGGCCTGAGCCCAGTGCAGTGGATACATTGTTGCCGCCTTTGCCCCAAGTGGTCACTGCCGCTGGAATCTTGGGTCCCGGTTGGATACAGTGTTGCCGTTGATACATTGTTGCGGTCGATACATTGTTGCCGTCGGTACAGCGTTACCTGTCGCCTCTCCGCCGATACGGTGTTACCTGTCGCCTCTCCGCCGGTACAACGTTACCTGTCGCCCCTCCGCCGATACGGTGTTACCTGTCGCCCCTCCGCCGGTACGGTGTTACCTGTCGCCCCTCCGCCGGTACGGTGTTACCTGTCGCCTCTCCGCCGGTACGGTGTTACCTGTCGCCTCTCCGCCGATACGGTGTTACCTGTCGCCTCTCCGCCGGTACAGCGTTACCTGTCGCCCCTCCGCCGGTGCGGTGCCGCGGGGACTGTGATGGCGAGTTGCAGAGCTCCCCAGTCCGGGGATGATTTGCCTCCGGACGGATCGTGCGATGTGTGCGAACCCGACGAGGCTCGAACCGCTCTCAAGGTGTGCGACACCTGCGCTCTGTCCTTCTGTCAACTCCACGCCGAGGAGCACGACGCCAAACCGTCCAGCAGCCAACACGGCCTCCGGGACTTCAGGGCGGCCGAGGCGGGTCCCGCTGGTGCGGTGACCCCCAGGTCCCGGGGGGAGGGAGAGGAGGGGGTCCCGGGCAACCAGCAACAGGAGGGGCCCCACTCCGGCTCCGGCTCCCAACAGGACGAGGAGGAAGAGAAGAAAGGGGAGAGGAAGAAATGCCCAGAGCACAATCAGGAGATCACGTTGTACTGCAAAGACGATGAGAAGATTATCTGTGTGCTGTGCGCTGTGGGGCCACACCGGCAGCATGAGCTCATCACCTTAGACGAAGCCTATGTGGCTTTCAAAGTAAGTTCAGGGGCATCTGCGGAGTCCTGTTAGGGCAGTGAGTGGTTAGCGCACTCGCCTCACGGGTGCGAGGACCTGGATTTGATTCCCGGGCAGGGTGAAACCTTGGGCAAGTCCACCCGGCAGTACGTAGGAACCCGGCTGTTAGTCGATTGGCGGATCGCTTTTCCGGGGGTAATAGTCCTTTCAAGAAAATGTAAATGAGAATAATTCGGTCGCTCAGTCCGTGACTTGTTTGTGAGACGCAGCGGCGTGCAATTAGCTGCCGCGTTTCACCCTCAAAATACGCAGTCATCGCACTTTATTCTGTGAAGCATTTTGAGACGGCTCGAAGATGTGATCGGCCGCTATATCAAACGCAAGGATTATTATTAGTATCTCGTGGCAGACAGTGACAATTCCCTGGCTTCCTGAACACAACACATCAACACACAGGCCTCACTCATCGCACACCCCAGACCGCGTCTTAACTGAGATCTCAACCGATCTGAGTTTAACACAGTCTACAAGGAAAGTAAAGGGAACTTGTATCACCACACCTGCTCTAATCATCTGATGTGTTGATCCAAATAAAGTGGTTTCCTTAAACTGTACTCTATAAACTTCACCCATCAAACCTCACCCCTTAGACTCCATTCCTGCCCATACTGTAGAGTGACAGTCTGAGATCAGTGGTCAGTTAGAGCCCCTCAGTAATAACAATAATAATAATAATCCTTACATTTGATATAGTGCCTTATCACATCTTTGAGATGTCTCAAAGCGCTTCACAGGATATACTGTAAAGTGAATTGAAATGTGCAGCGGAGGCCCACAAACAGTCATTACTTTTAATTTTTTTGAAGGGATTATTACTCCCGGAAAAGCAATCCACCAATTGACTAACTACTTGGTTCCTTCCTACTGTTTGATAAACAGAAGCGTGTGGAGTAAGGAAACTTGTCTAAGGTTTCTCCCTGCTCGGGAATCGAACCCAGGTCCTCTCGCTTGTGAGCTGAGTGCTCTAACCACTAAGCTACAGAACTCCAGTAACTCACAGCTTTGGACCCACTGATACTCCTCCCCTATACCATCACTGTGTGATTTAGAAACCCATTGCCAATCTCAAGCCCATTTCAAGCCCAGCTCCTGGCACTATGTGACCGTCTGCCTATCACACGTGTCTCCCACACACACGGACGTGAGGCAGAATCTGACCACCCTGGCTATCATATATGTCACACACATGACACAGAATGTGATCATTCTCCCTATTACATGTGTAACACACACACATGTGTGTGATGCATGTGTGTGGCAGGATATGACAGCTCTGCCTATCACACCGCAGAATTCAGACAATATCATTCTATTAGCTGTCTTTCAGCCAATGTTCTCCTCTCCTGAGGTGCTGTCTCCATAACCTCTCCACCACTGCCCACCCCGGGGCAATCAGTCACCCTGAGCCCTGGCAGTGAACGTTGGCAGATTATTTCACTGTGTGTGTGGGGGTGGAGTTTACACCCCCACTGTCCTCACCTGATCACACCCGGACACGTCATACCCAAAGTGTAACCTTTCACCTCTCTTGCAGAACCGACCCCCTGTTGACATGAAGTCTGCCATGACGGGGATGGTGGATCGCCTGCGGGCAAAGAGTCAGGATCCTCACGTAAGTTACCCCCCCCCACCTCGCATTCCCCTCCCCCACACATTCCCCTTCCCCTCACCTTTCCCCCTCGCATTCCCCTCCCCTTCACATTCCCCTCCCCCTCACCTTTCCCCCTCGCATTCCCCTCCCCCTCACATTCCTCCCCCCTCACCACAGGCTCACATTCCTCAACCCTCACACCCATACGGGTTATAGACAGAGTAAAGCTCTCTCTCCACGCCGTTTGTCCACACTTCCAGGTCAGTGAGAGGCCTGGAGAGCTCAGCAGTGAGCTGGGTGTCAGTGTGACTGGGCTGTGTGTTGGCTGAGTGAGTGGCTGATTTCAGCAAGTGTAACACGACTTTCAATTAAGCTTGTCATCCGCTACTGACAGCCTGACAGCCTGACTGCCTCCCCTCTCCCCAGAGAAAGCTATTAGCATATTAGCCATTCTGCAATGGCTTAAACACATCTCCTGTGCACAGAGAGTTAGAAGTGGATCCCACCCTCACTCCACCACAACAACAATATTGGCAAGTTTCGTTACGCCACACATTTCTGTTTACCTCGCAATAAGTAGGAACCCGGTTGTTAGTCGATTGGCGGATCACTGTTCCAGGGGGAATAATCCTTTTCTAAAAAAAATGTTATCACTCAATCCACCGCTGTTTGTGGGACACTGCTGTGTGCAATTGGCTTCCATGTTTCACCCACAAATATATACATTCACTTCACTTTGCAGTATTTTGGTGAAGCGCTTTGAGACGTCTCGAATACGTGATAAGGCGCTATATCAAATGCAAGGATTATTATTATTGTTGTTGTGAGTGATCCCAGCCTCTGGGGAGGATGTATAGCCTGCGGTGACTGTGACACTGCTTCCCATTGTTTCCCAATGATCCCGTCACTGAGCCGAGCTCCGCACCGGGAATCACAAGCGGCAGCCTCGGGCAGGACATGTCACAGGGTATTAACATCAGCTCATTGTGTGGGGTCATTGAAAGCTCCTCAGTTATAAGGCGCTATATCAAACGCAGGGATTATTATTTATTATTATGTTGGTGACAGGTTGTGTTGGTGATGACTGTGGCTGTGCTAGTGATAGGTTGGGTTGTGTAGTGACTGGCTGCTGTTCTCTGACAGGTGACACAGGAAGAGATGATTGAGTGTGTCCAGCAGGAGTTTGCTAAGATCAGGCAATTGCTGTGGGAGGAGGAGAGGAAAGCACTGCACATGGTGGACCTGCAGGAGGCGGTGGCCACGGCACACGTAGCCGAGCTAATTGCAGACATCAACGTGTCCATGGGCAAACTGACCGAAGAGATGGAGGAGATCACCAACCAGCTCAACACCTTCAACCAGCTGGCGCTGCTCAAGCCACAAGTCATCGGCCAGGTGAGGGTGAGGGGGCAGCAGATGAAGTGGGCTGAGGGGGAGGCAAGGGGTGGAGCTGATGGGGAGGAGAGGGGGGATTAGGCAAGGGAGGGGACAGGTAGGTTAGGGGGTGCAGGCAAGGGGGAGGTCAGGTGGAGAAATTAGATTGTAAAATACAGTAAACTGATAACTCGTTGCTCCAAGGGAAACGGGCCTCAGTAGTGACAAGTTATCAGGAGTGTGGGCGAGTTAGGCATGCACATAAATACCTAAATAAATGTGGCTGGGATATTGACAACAATGATGACTTAAGTGGTAGTGACCAGTTAAGTCAGGATCGGGTTATCGGAAATTTATTGTACCCAGAATGTGTCTTGACAAACTATATGTGTGTGTCTCTCTCCCTCTCTCTTTGACTCTCTGTCTCTTTGATACTCTCTCTTTCCCTGTCTCTCTCTCCCCATCTCCCTCCGACTCTCTCTTTTGTCTCTCTCTCTCCCTCTCTCCCTCCCCCTCTCTCACTTTTTTTCTCTCTCTCCTCCCCTCTCTCTCTGACTCTCTCTCCAGCACCTTGGGATGTTCTTCTGATGTGAAAGGTGCTGTACAAATGTTGTTGTTGTTGACTCTTTCCCTCTCTCTCTCTCTTTCTCTCTGACTCTCTCTCTCTCTCTTTGCAGGATGGGGAAGCCAAACCCAGGTATGGAGTTTCTGTTTGTAGGCTGACTTTGGCTGCAGTACGACCTCCCAATAACTGGGACCCTTTCTCACTCGGGAATTCTGTTCCCACAAGATCTGATTCCTGTCCTCTTGGAAACTATTGGGATTCGGTATAAAGGAATCACATGAAGACATCTGAGTATATCTGAAGCCCCAACAACAACAACAACTTGCACTTATATACCAGTTCTGACAAAGGGTTGTGGATTTCAAACATTGACTCACTTTCTCCATAGACGCTGCTTGACCTGCTGAGTTTTCCCAGCTCTCTCTATTTTTGTTGCACTTATATAGAGCCCTGCATGCAGAGTAACGTTTCAGAGCGCTTTGCAAGGTTTATAATAATTATAATAATAATAATAATGCCTGCAAAGCGCTCTGAGACTCTACCCTGCATGGAGGGCGCTATATAAGTGCAATTTGTTGTTGTTGCATTTGATATAGTGCTTTATCCCATCCTCGAGATGTTTCAAAAGCATCACCGAATATACTGTTGAGTAAATTGACCGATAATTTTGTGAGCAAAACACGGCAGCCAATTGCGCAGAGCAGTGTCCCACAAACAGTTGTGGATTGAGTGACCAAATTATTACTTTGAAGGGATTATTACCCCTGGAAAAGCGATCCGCCAATCGACTAACAACTTGGGTTCCTATTTACTGCTAGATAAACAGAGGCGTGTGGAGTAAGGAAACTTGCCTAAGGTTTCACCCCCATATCCCAAATGTGACCTTTACGATGATCCATACGATTTGAGAATAACATCTCTCAGTTAGGAGTGATTTTTTTTGGGTGTCTGGCACACACGGAAACCCATCACCGTTGCTTAAGAGTAGCCAAACCAAGCCGAGAATTCCATGCATCTCACCTACACATGGAAATCCCAGAGGTAGATTGTTGGAATGGAATGCACACACTCTCTCGCTGCTTAAACAAATTTGAAGGGGTAATACTATTCGGTGCAAGTTGGCAAGAACCAAGGCTTGGTGGCAGAGTGTGTGTTGGGGTAACCACTGGAGTCTAACCAGCTAAAACCACATAGCTTGCCATTGATCAGAAGTGCCCTCCACCCTTCACAGTCCACTTTCCAATCTCCTTCTCACCCTTTGCGCCCCCCCAACCTCACACAGGGCGGGGTCTGATACACCAATGTTAAGCTGAGCATATATGGCGGGGAAGGTGGAGGAGTGACCTTGTTAAGGGGGTAACCTTGTTAATAAAGGATGGAATAAAAACAGTAGAGAGGAAGGGTTTCAAATCAGATAACCAGGATATAGGGACGGTATGGGTAGAATTACGAAATAACAAGGGGCAGCAAACATTAGTGGGAGTAGTTTATAGACCCCCAAACAGTGATCACAGCATAGCGCAGGGTATTAATCAAGAAATTAGAGGAGCGTGTAGCAAAGGTAATACAGTAATAGTGGGTGATTTCAATCTTCATATAGATTGGGAAAACCAAATCGGCAAAAGTAGGGTAGAGGAGTTTATAGAGTGTATGAGAGATAGCTTTCTGGAACAGTACACTGAGGAACGAACGAGGGGACAGGCCATCCTAGACCTTGTATAACGAAACAGGGCTAGTCGGTAATATAGATATTAAGGCTCCTCTAAGGCAGAGTGATCATAACATGATAGAAGTTAGTATTAAGTTAGAGAGTGATGTAGTCAAATCCGAAGCAAGGGTCTTAAATTGAAATAAAGCTAACTTTGTAGGTATGAGGGAAGAATTAGCTAAAATAGACTGGGGAATTAGATTAATGGATATGACAATAGACCAACAATGGCAAATGTTTAAAGATGTAGTGCATAATTCTCAGTGGTCACATATTCCCTTGAGGAATAAGAATACCACAGGGAAAGCAGTTCATCCGTGGCTAACTAGAGCAGTTAGAGAAAATATAAAACTAAAAAAAAGGCCTATAAAACTGCCAAAAAGAGTAGCAAACCTGAGGACTGGGAGTGTTTTAGGGACCAACAAAGAAAAACCAAAAAGCTCATTAAGAGAGAGAAAATAGATTATGAGGGCAAGCTGCTAGGAACATTAAGACAGATTGTAAGAGTTTTTATAAATGCATTAAGAGGAATAGGCTAGCAAAAGTAAATGTGGGTCCATTACAGGCAGAGACAGGAGGAATTAACAACAACAACAACAAGATTCCATTTATTGAGCGACTTTCACGTCGGGAGGACGTCCCAAGGCGCTGTACAGTTGGGTCAGGACCCGAGCATTGGAGAAATGGTCAGGGTGAGGGGAGGGAAGGGAGGGAGCGAGGAGGGGGTAGAGAGTCGAGAAGGGAGCTGAAGGCACGGTCAAAGAAAAAGGTCTTGAGACCGGCCTTGAAGGAGGAAAGGGAGGAAGCGGCGAAGGCACTGGGGATAGAGTTCCAGAGACTCAGGGCTGAGAGGCTGAAGGCCCGGCCACCGATGGTAGGGCGGTTGGGGCGGGGGATGTGCAGCAGACCGGAGCCAGAGGAACGGAGGGTACGGGCGGGTAGGTAGGGGGATAGTAGGTCAGAGAGGTAGGAGGGAGCAAGGCCGTGAGCCTTGTAGGTGAGGGTGAGGATCTTGAATTCGAATTTGAATTGTGTCTGATCTTCCAAAATTCTTTGGATTCTGGAACGGTTCCCGTTGATTGGAAGATGGCAAACGTCACATCACTATTTACGAGGGGTGGGAGAGAAAAGATGGGGAACTATAGACCAGTTAGTCTGACATCAGTGGTAGGAAAATTAAGGATATGGTAGTGGGATACTTAGAGGATCACAATATGATTAGACAGAGTCAACATGGCTTTACAAAACGGAAGTCATGCTTAACAAATCTTTTAGATTTTTTTGAGGACATATCAAGTAGATTAGATCGGGGGGAATCAGTGGATGTAGTGTATTTCAATTTCCAAAAGGCATTCGATAAGGAGCCGCATAAAAGGTTGATCCACAAGATTAGGGCCCATGGAATTAAGGGGAATATATTAGCATGGATTGAAGGATGGCTAACGGGAAGAAAACAAAGAGTAGGGATAAATGGGTCCTTATCAAATTGGTGGGATGTGACTAGTGGAGTGCCACAAGGATCAGTGCCTGGGCCTCAACTATTTACCATCTACATCAACGATCTGGATGAGGACATCGAATTTAATATATCCAAATTCGCAGATGACACTAAACTAGGAGGGAGAGTAAACACCGAGGATGACATTAAAAAAATGCAACGAGATATAGATAGGCAGGTGAGTGGGCAAATAGGTGGCAGGTGAAGTATAATGTAGGGAAGTGTGAAGTCATCTATCTAGGAAGCAAAAACCGTAGAGCAGATTATTTTTTAGGAAGGGAGAGACAAGATAGTGTCAGCGTTCAGAGTGACTTGGGTGTCCTTGTACACCAGTTACAAAAAGTTAGTTTGCAGGTACACAAGCAATTAGGAAGGCTAATGGTATGTTGGCATTTGTTACAAAAGGGTTAGAATATAAGAGTAGTGAAGTCTTACTGCAACTGTATAGGGCCCTGAGACCGCACCAAGAGTATTGTGTGCAGTTTTGGTCTCCTTATTTATAAAGGATGTACTCGCCCTCGAGGGGGTACAACGTAGATTCACTGGGTTGGTACCGGGAATGAGGGGGATCAGTTATGAGGATAGGTTGAGCAATTTAGGGGTATATTCTCTAGAATATAGAAGAATGAGAGGTGATCTTACAGAAACCTATAAGATTATTAAGGAGCCCGACAGAATAGACAGTGGGAGACTTTTTCCACTGGTTGGAGAAACTATAACCAGGAGTTACAGTCTTAAAATTCGGGGTAAGCCCTTTCGCACTGAGTTGAGGAAAAACTTCTTCACTCAGAGGGTAGTGACTTTATGGAATTCTCTACCCCAAAGGAACATATTCAAGACTGAGATTGATAGATTTCTTGTGGATAAAGGGATTAAGGGATATGGGGATAAGGCGGGAGGTGGAGTTAGAATAGATCAGCTATGATCTTATTGAATGGCGGGGCACAGGCTCGAGAGGCCGAATGGCCTACTCCTGCTCCTAATTCTTATGTGACTGGGAATGGACAGCCACCACATGGCACGTTAATAATTCACCAAACCACACCGAATGGCTCTGTCAGCGTCCCATCCTGGTGGCTCTGAGTGGGAGCTGTGCTCACAGCTGTAACATTAGCATCGCATGGCGATGAATAATTGAGGCTCTGAAACTCCTCATGTCCCCAGCAACACATTCAATCTATTAACCATGTTGAGGAGCTCTCCACCCCCCCACCACACACATACCACACTTAACTGGGGCCGTGGGTCAGTCACTCACAAGAACTACATCGAGTCCTGTAGCTCAGTGGTTAGAGCTCTCACCTCGCAAGCGAGAGGACCTTGGTTCAATTCCCGGGCAGGGCGAAACTTTGGACACGTTTCCTTACTCACATACCTCTGTTTACCTGGCAGTAAGTAGGACTCCGGTTGTTAGTCGATTGGCAGATCGCTTTCCCGAAGGTAATAATCCCTTCAAAACAAAAACAAAAATTTGGTCGATCAATCCATGACTGTTTGTGGAACGCTGCTGTGCACAATTGGCTGCCGGGTTTTGCCCACAAAATATACAGTCAATTCACTTTACAGTATATTCTGTGAAGCGCTTTGAGATGTCTCGAAGATGTGATAAGACACTAAATCAGTTGCAAGGATTATTAAGGATTATTATGTTAGCTGCACAGAGACAGATTGAGTGTTGGACACCCGGGAGCCATCTCCACATTAAGACAGGATAAACAGGCCTCATCTCATACCCTCCTGTTCAATCAAATTTCTCGTGTATAATTCCCTGTGACTGGGGCTGAGCTCCCAGCCTCTCAGCAGCTCCTGTGTGCAGTTTCTCTGGTTGCTCGCAGATGCCCTGTGGCCTTGCGCTTTGCGGAGAATCCTGGTTCATTAGCGTTTCACAATCTAAACCCAAATGGGCAGCCTTGTCTGCCTGTTGCCATGAGAACCTCAGGCCTGAGCATCCCTGCTGATGGGTAAACAGCTCCCAATGTAGCCGCTGTTGAAATAGAAACACAGGAAACAACGCTTGGTCTCTGTTTCCTCCCCGTGGTTAAAGGGGCTGAGAGTCAGCACTCAAACACACAACACATTGCCAACATCCTTACACTGCACATACAGCCCACTAACCCAGATACCTAGCAGTTAGTAGAAACCCCGTTGTTAGTTGATTGACAGATCACTTTCTTGGGGTAATAATCCCTTCAAATTAAATAAAGAATAAAAAATATTTAATAATTTAGTCACTCAATCCACGACTGTTTGTGGCTGCCACGTTTCATTCACAAAGTGCACGGTCAATTCACTTTACAGTATATTCTATGAAGCTCTTTGAATCTCTCGAAGATGTGATAATGCGCTATATCAAACGCAAGGATTATCATTATTATTACCTCCCTCACGTGTGTGTGTGTGTGCGTGTGTGTGTGGGTGCGTGTGTGTGTGTATGTGGGTGTGTGAGGATGCATCGCTCCAGGGAGAGAGAGCGCGTTCCATTCCAACAATATATCTCTGGGATTTCCATGTGGAGGTGAGGTGCGTGGAATTCTCAGTTTGGTTTGGAGACTCTTCAGCACGGTGATGAGTTGCCGTGTGTGTCACACACCCGCCTGTCCAAAGAAAAAGTAGCGCACGGACAAGCGGAGTTTGCACTGAATACCGTGCTCTGCTCACACTCGGTGGAGCTGTGTCCGACATGTGTAAATGTATTACACAGAACCTCTCTGCCGCTGCCTGTGGCTGGGCTGTGATTAGCCTGGCAGAGGGAAGGCCAGGGAAGTGCGCGAGACAGACAGCTGCATTTACATGTTAAACACACACTTCCTAACCACCTGTCAATCTCGTGTCACGTTGATAGCACTGCTCTCTCTGGGTCAGAAGCTTGGGCTCAAACCGCACGTTGGGGATTTGGTTTACTTTGGCTGCATCATAGGCAGTGGTCACTGGGTACACCCCACCCCCCCACCCTTGTCTCCCCCACCCCCGTCCCCCTTCTCGGTGTTATTTTGGCTTAAGGTGACACATAATTGTAGGAAATATTTCGGCCCTGATTTGGAAAGTGTTTCTCCGGATGCGGAAACAAACGGCTTCAGAACGAAACATCTTCCCCAATTCTGCCCGATCTTAAACCTCACAGCAGCCTCAAAGGCTGGGACTGAATGGAATTTGGGGCCTCTGATCGCTGCTTAGCGGAGGCCGGGGTGGGTATCAGATAAGAATAAGAATAATCCTTGCATTTGATATAGCGCCTTATCACGTCTTCGATTTTAAAGCGCTTCACAGGATATACTGTAAAGTGAATTGATTGTGTGTTTTGTGGGCAAACTGAGGACAGGGTGTAGCACCTCCCACTCCCGCCACCACCCACCCAACCGCTCACAGTCTGCCAGCACCGAGTGCAGCTGACAATCTTCAGCTGTGTGTGAGCTGTGAGTGTGAGCTGTGTGATCGCACTTGGCACTCGTTGAGCAGCTACTGTCCCACTTAACAACCAATTCTCGCTCCTTAAAGGGGCAGCAACAACTCCTCGGTGACGGTGTGGACAGACTGGCCTCGCTGTGTGTTCATAAATAATATTTCTTGCATTTAATATAGCACCTTATCAAGTCATTGAGATGTTTCAAGGCGCTTCACAGAATATACTGTAAACTAGATTGACTGTATATTTTGTGGGCAGCCAATTGCTCACAGCAGTATCCACAAACAGTCGTGGATTTATTTGAAGGGATTATCATCCCCGTAAAGTGATCCGCCAATCGACTAACAACCAGGTTCCTACTTACTGCTGGGTAAACAGAGGCGTGTGTGTGGAGTATGGAAACTAAGGCGAGTAAGGAAAGTAAGGAGACTCTCTTGTCTCTGCCTAAGGTTTTGCCCTCCCTCCTCAGTGATCGAACCCGGATCCTCTCGCCTGTGACGAAAGCGCTCTTAACCACTAAGCTACGCGACACTCCATGACGTGTGTTGGGTTAATTAACCTGCTGTCCTCTCCCCACAGGGGTAACGTACACCGAGATGGGCCCCCTCATCCAGGGAGGGGCGGAGGGTCCGCTGGGCACCCCAGTGCCACCGGGCCATGAAGAAGAGGCTGGCGTGTGGGTCAGGTGAGCGAGGGGAGGGGTCTCCAGGGGACTGAGTGAGTGCACGCAGAGTGGGGGAGGGGGGAATCCGTTCGGTTCATTGTGGGGGTGTATCACTACCTGGAGAGTATGTGTGTGGGGGTGGAGGGGCGGGGGCAGGATGGGGAATCAATACCTGGGGAGTGTGTATGTGGGGGGGTGGGCAGCAGTACCCAGGGAGTGCGTGGGGTGGGGGAATGTTTGGGGGAGCGGTCAGTCCGAGGGCGATGGCGTGTTTCCTTCTCACCCAAACGTCTCACTCCCACTCTGTATCTCCGCAGGGATTTCTGAATTGGCTGCTTTTCCCATCTTCCTGGAAGATGTCAAGTGCGTGTTTAAGCCTCGAAACCCGGAAATTCCTGAACGCTGATCACTGGTCTCCTCTCAGTTTCAGGTGGGGAGGGTGGGGGTGGGGGGGGGGTTGGGTGAAAGATTGACAACTCAGGTCCTAGGACATTCCTGATCTTGCTATTTATCTGCTCATTAATTATAGTTATTTAGTTTTTTAAATCTCGCTCCACGGCATTCCATGCCTGTCTATCGCGTGCAGATGGGTTGGTGTGTCTGCCCTGAATAAAGCCTCCACACCAACCCCACTCCTCCAGGCTCCTCAGACCCCCTCACCGACCCCCCCAGACCCTTCTCCACCCCTCGACCCCTCCCCCTCCATTTCCCCCAGACCCCTGCCCCCCCCCCCCCCCAAGACGCCTCTCCCTCCGCCCCCAGACACCTCCACCTCCAGATCCCTCGGCCCTCCCCAGATTCCCCCGCCCAGACCCCTCCCCAGACCCCTTGCCACTCACAGCAGCGACCTTTACTGTTCACCAACCAGCCGATTCAGTCTTGCCACGTTGCAGCACCCACCAGGCACATACAGCCTGTGATACACTTTCAGATCAGTGTGGTGTTTGGTCAGCGTGGTATCTGACACAACAACAACAAATTGCATTGACGTCCTGTAGCGCCTTTCAAGTGGGAGGACGGCCCAAGGCGCTGGGGTGCATGGAAGCCAATTACCATGCTTAACAACCAGACAGAGAGTTTCACATATAAGTGTGACCCACACATGGGGAAATCCTGTGTGTGGAATGGACTTGCACTCTCTCCCTGCACCCAGCTCACCTCACCCCAGGGAGTATTAGGCTCAGGTTGATGAGAGCCAAAGCTTGCGATGGTCTGGGGATGAAGTCTGGAGTCTATAGGAGTATCTGTGGTGCGGTCTCTGGGGTGGTGTGGTGGGTGGGTGTGGTGTTGGTGCATGTGTGGGGGAGGGGTGTGTGGGTCTCTTGGGGGATTGGGTGAGGGCGGAGTGTGTGGGAGGGTCTCTTGGGGTGGGGGTTGGGGGGGTGTTTGTGAGTGGGGGAAAGGGTCTCTTGGGGGGTTTGGGTAGGGGAAGGTCTCTTGGGGGGAGGGGTGTTTGGGGGAGGGTTTCTTTATAGGGGGGTGTGGGGGAGGGGTTCTTGGGGAGGGCTGTGTGGGGGTGGGATTCTTCGGGGAGGGTTGTGCGGGGAGGGGCTCTTGAGGGAGGGGTGTGTTGGGGAGGGGTTCTTGGAAGGGTTTGGGGTTGTGAAACCTGTTGTCTCTGGCAATGATGAACGATGTTGCTTCTTGTAGGGGAAAAAAAGCATTAAACCTCTTGGTTCCTCATTGTGGTAACTCCCACACGGAGACAATGACTGTAACAGAAGGTGGGGGAGGTGGTGGGGTCGGGGGGAGGAGGGAGGGAGCAGGGGCGAGAGCGAGAGGGGAGTGGGGGCTGACAAGACATACTTTACTGAGGAACTTGTTCACACCGTTTTATCACCCCCGCTCCTCATACAGTGTGTGCTGAGATGCGATGTGTTGCATTGTGTTGCCTGGAGCCCTGTTGGAACTTATTTTAATTAATCCTCACTCTATTTTTAAAATTCCTTTGACTCCACTGCCTGTCTGTGTGCTTTATTTGTGTGGTGGCGCTCAGCGAGATAAGCGCTGTCAGGAATATACAAACATGGCTTTAATGCCATTCGGTAGCGGAGGCGAACAAAATGGAAATTTCGCTGAATTGAATTTCAGGGATTAATTCTTCCTACGTCGCTGCTTTACTGCCTGTGAATCACTCGGTGTCCAGATAACAAATAATAATAGTAATCCTTGCAATTGATATAGCACCGAAAACATAGTTGAAGAGGAGGGTCTTGAGATGGGTCTTGAAGGAGGCATGGGAGGGGGTGAGATGGAGGGACTGCAGGATGGAGTTCCAGAGGGTGGAGCAGAGTGGCAGATGGCACAGCCACCAATGGTGGGGTTTTCGAGGCGGGGGATGTGAAGCAGGCCGGAGCCCGCTGAGCAGAGGGATGGAGCAGTTTGGTATGGTGTTAGCAGGTCACAGAGGTAGTGGGGAGCAAGGCCACGGAGGGCTTTGAAAGTAAGGACCAGGATCTTGAACTATATCTTCTGAGTGATGGGAAGCCAGTAGAGGCGGACGAGGATGGGGTTGATAGGGTCACAAAGCCTGGTGCAGGAGAGGACATGAGCTGCAGAGTACTGGATAATCTGCAGCCTATGCACAAAGGAGTTAGAGAGACCGACTAGGAAGGAGTTTGCATAGTCAAGCCATGAGGTTATGAATGCATGTATGCGGGTTTCGGCGGCCTACGGTCTGAGACAGTGTTTTGCGCCGGACGACATTGTGCAAGGGGGTGACAGAGTGGGTCATGGCATGGATATGGGGTAGAAAGGATAGTTGAGGGTCAATCAAGACACCTTGGTTCTGGACTGGCTCAGTAAGGTGGAGTGTGCATCCTTGGATGGTGATGCTGTTAGGCCTGAGGTGTGGAGGCGCTGACGGGAGCCAATCAGGAGAACCTCGGTTTTGTTGACTTTCAACTAAAGAAAGTTTGCTCTCATCCAGGACTTGATGTCTGACAGACATTCTGTCAGCACAGCAGTGGGTCCTGGAGTCGAGGGTGGAGGCAGAGAGGTAGAGTTGGGTGTCATCCGCATACATGTGGAAGTTGACCCCATGTCTGCGGATGATATCACCAAGAGGGAGCATATGGATGTTGAAAAGAAGGGGACCAAGGACAGAGCCCTGAGAAACACCACACAAAACAGCGCGGGGGAGAGAGGAGAAACCATTAGTGAAGATGAAGTAGAGGCGGTGTGAGAAGCACAATCTGACCCATTCAAGAACAGAACTATGAAGGTTGAGGTGACAGAAGAAGCGGTGGAGGAAGAGAGAGTGGTCAACGGTGTCGAAGGCAGCAGAGAGGTCAAGGAGGATGAGGAGGCAAAGGATGGACAGAGTAATTTGTCACTTTGACCAGGGCTGTTTCTATGCTGTGGGCGGCACAGAATCAGAATTAGAGGGTTCGTGAAGTAAGTGGTGGGAGAGGAAGGAGCAGATGGTCGGTTTCATGCGGGTTATAGTGGTGGTGAGAGAGGATTGGGAGACAGGTTTGAAGGTGTGGAGGGAGGGATGGGTAGGGACCAGGGTGAGAAGAGGAGATAGGGAGGAGTAATAGACAGAAAGGCACAGGCAGGTGAGTGGATCCCCTCGACTTTGGATTCAAGGAAGTCCAGCATCGCCTCGCAGTTGGCATTGGAGGTGAGGATGGAGGAGGTGTGAGAAGGTGGATGGAGGAGCCGGTTGGTGATGAAGAGGAGCCTGAGGTTGTCCTTGGCCTCCAAGATTGTCTTGGAGTAGAACAACGATTTAGCAGAGGCGAGGGCCGAGTGGTAAGATTTGGTAAGGTCCAGCCAGATCTGCCGATGGGTGGCAGCCAATTGCACACAGCAATGTCCCACAAACAGTCGTGGATTGAGTGACTGAATTACTATTATTATAAAAAAATTAAGGGGTTTGAAGGCGTGGAGGGAGGGATGGGTAGGGACCAGGGTGAGAGGAGGAGATAGGGAGGGGGAAATAAACAGAAAGGCAGAGGCAGCTGAGTGGATCCCCTCGACTTTGGATTCAAGGAAAAATGACCTGCCAATCGACTAAGAACCAGGTTCCTACTTGCTGCTGGGCAAACAGAGGCATGTGGAGTAAGGACAATTGCCCAACGTTTCGTCCCACCCGGGAATCAAACCCAGGTCCTCTCGCTTGCGAGGTGAATGCTCTAACCACTGAGCTACAGGACTCCACAAATCAAAGTTGGTGTTTGGTCTTCTGTGCCTTTTTACTGAGATGACTAAACTTAACACTGGTTTCTGCTCTCTACCTTCCAGCCAAATGAGAAGTGCTTTGTGTGTGGCGCCTGTGAAAAAATCATTGTTCATAATTGTTGATAATAATAAATAATAATCCTCACATTGGATACAGCGCCTAATCACAACAAAACATCTCAAAGTGCTTCACAATTATTCTAATAACAATCCTCACATTTGATATAGCACCTTTCTCGTTTAAAGTCTCGCCCAAAGGACAACGCCTGTAAGAACACACTCCCCCCAGCACAGGGCCAGCAGTCTGCACTGCTGAGAATAGCAAGAGCTGCTGTGTGTGTGAGGGAATCACTCATTAACACACTTTAACACTGTGCCCTCGGGAGCAAGAAGGAGCCACTGAATTTACATTTCCAAATAAATAACAGTCACCAGCCTCTAAATACACAGAACTGTGTCTCCATAAGACCCACAGCTCACTCCTCCCTGTAATCCTGTCTGCTGGTGATACCAGCACTGGGCTCCAGGGAGGCTGAGAAGAGACTGAACTTTAGCAACAAGCTGCAGATCAGCTGTGCGGTGAGTGCTAAACAGTGGCGGAGCCTGTCTCTGAGCCGGGTTGAAAATGAAGGTTTTCAGGCGGGATTTAAAAAAGGGGAGAGAGGGGGCAAGGCGGAGGCATTGAGGGAGAGTGTTCCAGAGCTTCGGGGCGTAGTGGATGAAAGAGCAACCTCCTATGGTGGAGCGGAGGGTGCAACGGACGAGCAGGAGGCTGATGCCAGTCGAGCGGAGGTGCTGGGTGGTGGATTGGGGTGTGATGAGGTCAGAGAGGTAAGGAGGTGCCAGGGAGTGAATGGATTTGGATAGAAGAGGGGGTGTGTGGGGGAGGAAAGGATTAGAGAAGATGGGAGCTGTAGCTGTAAAGGTCTGAAGTGGTTGAAATCAATGTTGAATTATAAAGTGAATTGACTGCGTATTTTGGTGGTAGAAACGTGGCAGCCAATTGTTCCTACTTACTACTAGGTAAACAGAGGCGTGTGGGTAAAGAATCCCTAAGGTTTCGTCCCGACCCGCCAAGGAATCAAACCCAGGTCCTCTCGCTTGCAAGGCGAGCACGCTGACCACTACACTAAGGGACCTTGGTATGAACCATAGACAGGCGGATTGTTTTATGAGGAAGTCAACAACAACAATTTGCTCTTAAATAGCGCCCCTCAACACAGGGTAGCGCCCCAGAGCACTTGAGAGTG